TTTTTTATTTGTTAAAAACGTTTGAAATATCCAATAAATTTCGTTCCACTTCATGATTGTGTCCCACTTGTTGTTGATTCTTCACAAAAAATTACAGTTTTATATCTTTATGTTTGAAGCCTGAAATGTGGCAAAAGGTCGCAAAGTTCAAGGGGGCCGAATACTTTCGCAAGGCACTGTACTTGTAGGTTTCCGGCCACTCCATTCATGCCACATTAGACCAGGTCAGGTAAAACAGCCAGTCCCTGTACATGAACTTTCTAGGACCTCAGGCCCTGTATTTTTCTTCACATCCTCTGATCATAATGCAGGCATCAAAACTCACTGAGGGACCAGTACCTTCAGTATTTGTACCCGTAATTTGAAAAACCACTGGCTACCTGAGTAGGAAATCTGTCTTGGGATGGCATAAAGCCTTTGTGTACATTTTGACCTGCTTTTAGCTTTTTTGTGAACTAATCTGCATAAATATAAAAAGTGATTGTTTTTTTAAGTATGCTGTTATAGTTTGCTTATTAGTTTTAACATGTTTTACTTTCCCTGTTGTCACCAGATGGTCTCGTCATTGCCCCAAATGCACAAATACACAAGTGTATGCATCCTGTGACACTGACACACTTTATATTTTAAATATTCTTCACAGTAATCAGTATGGAAAGCGGCCTGCAGATTACGCAGTGAATCTGGAGATGCTGCAAATTTTCCAGGAAGCTTCAAAAGGAAACCATAGTGCTAATACATCTTTTAGCCCCTCAGCTGGTCTCTCAGTGGTATGTCTACATTTAGATGTAAATAACCAGTTTTTTATTTCTTGTTTCCCTGGAAATTGTTAAGACTAGAATGCTGATATTCTTGTATTGTAGGCCTAGATTTTTTCTAACGATGTTCTTACATCCTTTCTTAGGTGAGCAACTGTGTGAGGAGGGTTGAAATGGTGGTGCTTCTGGCAAGCAAGTTGTCTCATCCACAACAGCTACAGTTGGTCAAACTGGGCCAGCTACTCAGAGGGAGGATGGCTGACAACTTTTCTGGATCAGGTACTGTTTGTGTGACTCAAACACTACCTCCACAGGGGGTTTAAACTTTCTCAGTTCCGGGCAAAGCTTCTTGGAAGACTGGTTGCATATGATTGCTTTTTAATGCTGTTATTTGTTACACACGAGCACTTAGCAACATTGCAGATTAAAATGCTTGTACATTGGGCTGGTAAACTTGTTCACTGCTAAACACTCTGATAGGCAATCAGCCATCATTTGGATGCCATCTTCAGCTGGAAGATGGATTCAAACTTGGTGTTTGTCTCTTGGCCTCGTCCTCCAGTTTTTTTATGCAGATTGTATACATACTGTACAGTACTATCACTACATTCATCTAAATCTTGCTTTACAGTACTTATAGAGCCAAGTTTACTATGTAGCACAGACCATTCTGTATTGTAAATGCCAACAGTAGGTGCTTGAGCATCATCACTCATGAAAGTAACTAACAAGTCCTTTTAGAGCTGTCTACATCATTGTGATACAGCAGCTCCTTCACTGTTGCAATGTAACTTCTAGGAGAATACCAGAGAGTGTAAATGAAATTATTCTTCATAAAATGTTTAGCTGTACTGTTAGGGTGATGGATAAGCACTAATAAAAAACAGAGTTTCTCACAGCTCTCCTCTGACTGGAAAGTTTTCAAGGAATTTTCTTTTTTTACTTAAAAACAGCATATGCACACAAATCCATATTCAATTCACAATGTAAGACGGTTTTGCCCTGGAGATATAATTATGTTCATTTTGCACTTGTGAACTGTGCTTTTGTTTTGAATGAAGAGGTAATAGGCTTTGTATTTAATTAACCTATAATTATGCGTTCTTGTCTAAAGCACTTCATGAAATAAGCTTCTGCTTGGCCTTCTGTGTTGCTGTGAGCTGTTTGACAGGTGTAGTTAGCTTACCTGTTTAGACTTGCGAAGTCAACGACATCAGCAAGGTATTAACAAAGCGAGCATTGCACTGGATAAACACGTACTCAAAACCATAAATTCTAATCATTTTTTGCAGTTGGGCAATGGCTGATAAATCAGTACCTACTTTAAGTAGGATTGTGCCATTATCCTGTTACAAAACATTGTAGTTAAAATGAGCAGTTTCAACAAAAATGCAGTACTGAACCTTCTGTTAAACATGAGTGAATGTTTTTTTGTGTCACGTAATGTGTAACAATAACTCACACCACTGAATTGAGCATATACACTATCCCTACATTTCATATGTATAGAAAGAGAAATAAATCTTTGCTATTTTTTTCTGTCTTTCGGTCTTAATTTAGCACTTTAATTTTTGTCCTGATAACTACTAAACTACGTTACACTCATCCTCAGCTGGGCTTTTTGTTTAGTGCAAGTATTTTTCACAGCAGACATTTTCAGTAATCACAGTAGAGAAGGCACAGGTGTAGCTAATGGCATTAAGTATCCTGATAAACAGTGCCACTCAGCAAGCATACACAATACCATGATCCTGAAAATGACTCACATACAGTTAGTACAGAAAGAATGTCAAGAAGAATGAAGAAAATCCCCAAAGAAAGGTGCCAGGCTTGTAGCCTCATGCTGCTTCTGTGAAAAAGGCCTATTAGAAAATGTTGGCATTCTAACACACCAAGATAATGTTAGACCAATATCTACCAAAACCACAGAAGTGTCTTCTGGGAAAATGTACTGTATTTGATTTGTACTTTGAGTTTTTAGTCTGGCTCGTGTGCCATCCACTAACATGGAGGTGGCAGGGATTTATGACGTATACTGAAGCCAGCCACCAGGTTCCCTTGGAGCTTTGGTGGCTTCACTTCTGAGGGCTGTTAGACTCTCCGTCGCGTTTATAGTCAGTGATGTTAACCCTGTTGCCTAACCTCAGCTTGTGTTACATTGCAATAACTCTTGTTGAAAGATTCAAGTGTTTAAGGTGTATCTAAAAGAAAACTGCCATATAAAGTGTTATCTTGTAGCAATCTACGTATCTCCTTATCTGAATTTGCACCAGCAGTGCACTGTGTAGCTAGACGGCCTGACTGATGCACTAGGAAGGCAGCAGCAGGCAGCAGCTTTTCATGCCTGTGTAGCACAGTTCATTTGTACCTTTTTTTTTTCCTTCAAATTGGCAGTTGTGTGTCTATCTTCTCCCTCCAGTGAGCCATGTCGTGGTGCCAGAAGGACACATGCCCACCACCTACTCTACCCTCATGGGTCTTCTTGCTGGCTGCTGGGTTGTCAGATACAGCTGTAAGTATGGAGTGAGCCATCAACTGCAGCATTTCTCTGTAGGTGCTGTCTGGGATATCATATTAAAGTGTGTTACCTGGATAACTTCCTACTGCAGTGGCATTGAGAGCCAGCCTTTGTCTAAAATATCCTTAATATCAAATGCATTATCTACTAAATGTTTAGACAATATAATATTTTTCTAATATGGTGGGGGCACCGGTGGATGTCAGGCAAGCTCACATGATTGTGCAGCGGCCTGGATAGGATAAGGATAAGGATAATCACATTTATTGGCCAAGTATGTTACACACAAGGAATTTGTTTCTGGTACAGAACCGATAGCAGCCATCTGCAGTGCCAACTCAACCGACATCTCATTTTTTTTAGCTTTAGGTCACATCTAAGATGATAATTCACCATTGTAACATTCTAGATAATTCAAAAACCAATGGTTTGGTTGTATAATAGTTTGGCAAAACAGCACAAATATAAGTTACTGATATTTTCTTTCCCCCTGTAGTTACTCCAAGAAACTTTAAATGCCTACCCTGTTAAATTAGGTTTTACTTCCCACTGTTATTTATTGCCTTAATGCACATGTGTCAAACTCAAGGCCCGCGGGCCACATCCGGCCCGCGAGATGATTTTATATATCTTTTTTTAATGGCCCGGCGATATGAAGCACCTATAACACACAAACTACGAATCCCATAATGCAGCGCAACAGCTGCCTTACCGAACGATAAGCTACTAGCGATCATTCCCGCGCCAATTATGTCAGATCAATCAAGCGTCTGTTGATGTATACAGCCCTAATTTCAAGTCAAAGCTAGCCCCTAACAATGGCCAAAAGAAAGGTTGATTCTGAAAACAGAGCCTTTCAAACCCAGTGGGAGGCTGAGTATATGTTTACTGACATTGCCGGTAAACCCGTGTGTCTTATTTGTGGAGCTAATGTGGCTGTAATTAAGGAATATAACCTAAGACGGCACTACAAGACAAAACATCAGGACAAGCTGAAAAACGTGAATGCAGAGCAGAAGCTACAGAAGGTAGAGGAGTTGAAGAGGAATCTGACATCACAGCAGACGTTTTAACCAAAGTGAAATGACACAGTGAAGCTGCTGTGAAAGTAAGTTTTATTGGGACAGAGGAGAAAATCAGCCCTGGACATTTACCAAGGGAGAGTTTCTGAAGAGCTGCATGATGAAAGTGTGTGACGTCTTGTGTCCAGACAAAAAGCAGGTGTTTGCAAATGTAAGCCTTAGCAGAAATACGGTTGGTGATTTTAAGTTCAAGTTTATTTATTTTGGAATAATATTGTATCCTGTCTGTTTCGATTCATATTTATGTTCAAAAACGTTTCGTTTTAGTCTGTTCAATAAATGTTTATCCTGTTCGGACCGCTACCTAAAGTGTGCTTTGAGTTTTGGCCCCCTATGCGATTGAGTTTGACACCCCTGCCTTAATAGAAACAGTTCAATAGTTTGTGAAATGTGTATTTGCTTTCTTCCAGACAGTTACAGGAGAACACCGATACCCTCCTGACCCCATTCTACCTACCTAAATATGAAGCTGCTTCCGGCAGCTGATCAGCTGAACTAAGCATAAAGACTGGAAATGATTAAATACTGTAGTTGTGCTGTTGTTAGGGGCTCCTCCTAAACTACATTACAATGGAACATTGGAAATTCAATTGATCATGGATTGAATTACTTGGATATCAACTGGATACTAAAACAAAAATATCTTTTTTGATGACAAATTTCAACTAAATACTAGGTGTTTTGTGTTCCACTGGTGAAAGGAAATAGATGTCTGTGGCAGATTTTAATTGATAGAATTAGATTTTAGGTTAAAGTTCATGTTTTGGTGCTACATACAATATTTGTATTCTGTTTACTGATTCATTCAAGGGCACTCTAGCCACATGGTATTCCCAGCTGCAACTGAAGTTAGGTGACTCTTGGCATAGTGTAGGACAGATATAAAAATCTTGGAGGTAAATATTGTACTTGTGGAACCACAGTGCATAACAAATGGATTGTGCTGCACAAGCATTGTGAAGAATATTTTATGGGTTTTGTGTTTTGCTCGGAATCCCAAAGAACACCTCCTGCCACCTCTGTCTCAGAAAAGGCTACCGCTGAGTTGAATTAAAGCCATTGGATGATAATACACAATTAAGTGTGCCAAGGGATGTTTGAATTTTCCTCTGGAAGCTCATTATTCACATTAAATGATGTTTAACCATTATTTGGCCCCAAAGAGGGAATTTCAGACCATGCCTTCCTAAATCTTCAGGGTCCCATAATAAGCAACACCATTTTAACCTGATTTAAAATGCACATATAATGATTTCATAAACTACCTTCAAATTTAATCATGCACATATTAGAAAGTCTCTCCACTCTGACCTTAATACAATGCATCCCTAATTCCTTTTCTCACTCAAGCAAAGAGCTGAAATAATATCGGCACTGCTCAGATTAAGCAGTGGATGGCCCACCTGGCTTGGTAGACAGTCACATATGAGAACTAGGCCCACTCAATTGTCCAACCACATTCACTGTTCTAAGACTGCCAATTGACAGAAAGCTACACCAGTAACGACCACACTGAATCAAAAACTGTATTATCAGCATTATAAGTTCTGTGTGGGTGTAGAGTGACGGCAAGTCTACAGGATCAATAGTTGGGCACCCTCTCAATAACTGGTGTTTCATTGAGGTAAACCCACAACACCAAGAAGGCTCAGCAGTGTGTTCCAGCATCCCAGAACCAACCCTTATTTGCCTGCACCCACACACCCAACGCAATCCCCCATCACTGTCTACTCAATTCTCTATTGAATTAATCAGTCGGGGCTACAATTAGCAAACAGTCAGTAACTTAAGGCTAACAGTTAGCTATCTGTTAAAACCTGCTGTCATAGCCATCAAACATTTCAAAGGACAGCCAAATTTCTTGTTATATTTTCGCAACCAGTGAGTATTCATTCTATTTTATAACTTTTTTACTTTGACATCCAAACTTTATTAGAAACATTAGGACATTTTTACTATTTGAGTGTTTATGTGGCTTAATTCTGGGATTTACTGCTGTTTTGAACTATTCTGAGATGGTGTCACTCATATGCTTCCTCTCCTCTGCAACCTTTCAGATTAAATCAGGTGTTATGTTTGGAATAGGAACTTCTAAATGCAATACTTTTTTTTGGGCAACACCTGGAATGTCTTGGGAAACTTTAAAAGAAAATTTTCCAACAAGCATTTTTCAGCTTAGTTTTCTAAGCCTGTGGCTGTGTTTGCACACACCTGCTTACTTGTCTGACAGCCAAATTGAGTGAGTGGGTGACTTGGGGAAGGAATTTAAGAATCAATATGCTGCAAGGCTTCAGTATAACTAGAGATGAAAAGATGGCTAACTCTTTTCCAGTTTGATTTATGCCAAGATGAATACTTAACAAAAGTTTAGCTATTCTCAGCCAGCCTCCCTGGCATCCTTGAACCAAGTCAACAAGCTCATGTTCAGAGGAGGTAGAAAGAGACTTGTTATCAAAGGGTTTTCTGGTACCTTGGTGTGTCCTTGACTGGTGTAGCATCTCTTGACTGTGTGTGTGTGTGTGTGTGTTCGCTCATATATGCCTGGTATTACTCATATTGTGGGGACTTGTCTTCTTTGTGCTGATAAATTGTTGAACTTTAGGGCAGCTACTTAGTTTACAATCAGGGTTAGGCAAGTGGTGGTTATAATTAATGTCAGGTTAAGTCTTCACTAAGTCAAAGTCCCCACGTGGAATGAAGGTGGACGTTTTTGTGTATATGCGTCTGGTATTACTGGCACTGTGGGCACAAAGCTTTTTACATACTCACATTGTGGTAAACATAATCATTTCCCTGTATGTAGGATAATCACCTTTATTGGCCAAGTATGTTACACACAAGTAATTTGTTTCCGGTACAGAACCGAAGTAGAGTTATATGCCATGCACTCTTGTCTTGGGTGCTGCCAGTAAGCAAATTCAGCTTCGAGTATGTGTTTAGGTGTGTGATTGTGTAACTGTATAAGATTTTGCGTGTTTGTACCATACTCTGCACTTCCTCCTCCTCCTCCTCCTTTTTCTATGCAGGCTGAACACTTGACAAGGCTTGTCTCTCACTTGACAATCTCTATGCCATCTTGTCTGTCTCTGTCCCTGTGTTTGTGTGTGAGTAGACAAGCAGCTGAGTTCTTACTGTCACCCGTCTCAGTCCGCCATTGCTGTCAACTACACCAACCCTGGCTTACCTCTTTATCGGTCTTACCTTTCATTCCAATAAAGTAACTGAGTACATTTACTCAAGTGCTGTATTTAAGTATAGTTTTGATGTATTTATACTTGAGTATTTCCATTTTCTGCTACTTCATACTTTGACTTTACTACATTGCAAGGGCAAATATTGTACTTTTACTCTACTACATGTATTTACTAGTTACTTTTCAGAATCAGATTAATAAAACAAAATATACTATAATAATAAGACTTGTTAATCCTGTGTGGAAAATTCTCAAGATTCCTAGCTGTAAAGTACTTTAAATTATAATTGCACAACATGATCAATGGGCATGAAAACACATATCCTGATGCTACTTTTATTATTCTGGGAGATTTTAACCACTGCAATCTCAGGAAAAGCATGCCTAAACTGTAACCTTTCCTACTACAGAGGAAACAAAACACTGGACTAATGTTACATTAACATTAGAAATGCTTTCTCAGCAGAACCTAAGCCTCATTTTAGTAGATCTGACCACCTAGCAATCCGGCTAAAACCTGCTTACATCAGATGATTCAAGGCGAAACCAGTCTCAGTGAGAACTGATAACACTGGAACAACTGTGCATAGGCCAGCCTGCAGGGCTCTCTAGAGGCCACAGACTGGAACATCTTCAAAGGGGCCACAGACGACACCCATGAATATGCAGAGACAACCTGAAACACCTGGACAATAGCGGAACATACGTTAGGATGCTCTTCCTAGATTACAGTTCTGCATTCAAGTATAGCCACTGCTGGGCTCCCCCCAGCAGTGGCTATACTTCATCGGGCAGCTCAGAAAAGCTGGGCTAAACCGTTGCCCCCTCACCCAGGCTTGTAAAGGACTGGTAGAGAGCATCCTCACTACTAGCATCACAGTCTGGTATGGTAACACCACACAGGCAGAGAGGAAGGCTCTTCAAAGGGTCATAAAGACTGCAGAGAGGATCATTGGGACTGAACTGCCTGCTGTGGACACAATATACACACAGCGCTGTTGCAAAAGAGCAGAGAACATAATCCGACATACACTCCACCCAGCTCACACTCTGCTCAGACACAAAAACTGCACCTACTGCCTCAGGGACAGCAGAGCAGACGGTATCATCACACACAGAACAAGATTTTACAACAGCTTTTTCCCTGCCGCAGTAAGACTGATAGCAAATACAGAATGTGAAAAACCTGTGCAATAACCCCTCATTACCCTATTAAGTAGAAGACCATATACAATTCCACTATGTGCAGTATTTGAAACTCCCCATTTTACCTGTTACCTTATTCCTGTAACCACAATTTTCTCAACTATTTTGTATTCTTGGGCACTCTTGTTTTTTTGTATTTTGTATTCTTGGGTGATCTTATATTTAGACTAGGTGTTCGTTCTTTTGGCTTTAAACTCTTGACTTGACTCCAGGAGAGCCCTGCACAGGAATTCCTATATGCCTAGACTGTCAGTTTATGCATAAATGGCAAATAAATCTTGAATCTTGAATCTTGAATTATTAAATTCAAAGCAGTATCTACCAAATTTAGAGAAACCCAATATACAGTACATCAAATTAATATACATAATAATGAATCTGTACTTTTACTTTGGTACTTTGAGTATATTTTGATGCAATTACTTTTTGTACTTTTACTTCAGTAACATTTTGAATGCTGGAGGTGACCCACGGAAATGCTGCATAGATTGACATTCTTACGTTCCTGCTCTTCTATGGGTTCAACAAGACACTGTCAATAATGTGGCTTTAGAGGTGTTTACAGACATTTTATTCACTTTGGAGCCAGGTGAAATGTGCTCCAGTCTTAATGCTAAGCTAGGTTTAGTAGTCATAACCGCAGCTCTGCGCTGCATGCACAGACATGAAATGTTAACTTGATCTTCTAATGTCACTCTGTTTAAGAGGGCAAAAAAAATGTTGTCCTAAAATGTTGAACTGTCCCTTTAGTATGATATTTCTTCCACTTTTTCCCTTTTCTACCAGTTTGCAGTGGCTAATTTTCCTACACTTTTGTTGTTGTCACTAGTCCTCCCACTGTTGACCCAGGGAGGGTGTGTGCAACCATGTGTTTCCTCCCAATACACATAGTTCTAGCTGCTACTTTTTGGCTGCCACTTGAGGAGCTTCACTTGGGCATATGCCCTGTTACAGCATGCTCAGCGCTGGAGATATCGTTACTCAGTGCTAAACCCAGGTTTTAACTGTGGGCTTGAGTTTTGCTGTGGTGTACCCGCCCCTGAACACTTGTTTTCTTCAAGTATTCAGTCTCCAGTGACTTTATAATGGTCTTATGGTAAATGGTCTTATACTTGTATAGCGCCTTTCTATGCTTTTACAGCACACTCAAAGTGCTTTCACATTATTCGGCCATTCACCCATTCGCACTCCCAAGCACTCACGCATTCACACACCGGTGACATCACTGGGGGTTCAGTGTGTTGCTCAAGGACACCTCGACATGTTGACTGGACAAGCCAGGAATCGAACCGCTAATCCTCCGGTTAGGAAACGACCCGCTCTACCTCCTGAGCCACAGCCGCCCCCAGAGATCACAGTTGAGTTGGTTTCATGGTTAATCAAAGAAGTGGGTTCATCTGGCTGGAAGGAGAAGGAAGGGGTTTGACTAGTCTATGTGAATGTAATTAACAAATATGCTAATGACTCCTCAGTATTAAGTGCCATTGTCTGGAGTGATTAACCCCAATGTCTTCTCTCTTCACTGCCCAGGTCTCTGGCAGTCTCCCTGTAAATAAAAGCTGTAATTAAGAGGGATGAAGAAATTTATTTGCACTCCACCCCAACTTTTGTGGAGGCTGTGTGTGTGTGTGTGTGTGTGGAATTTGCAGTTTCATGATATATTGAGACAGGATGTACATGCACACACACTCCAATCTGTTCATGTCACCATATCGTAAAGCTGGAAGCAGTATGAAACACTAAACTGCGACTCGAGGTGAATTCAAGTCACAAGGTTTTGTGGGTGTAGCAGAATGTAGAATATATCCATTGCAGATGTTTTACACCTGTGGGAATGTTCGCATCTGTCACAGTTGGAATTGTGAGACAGCTCTGCACTGCAAGTCTGAATACAGGCCAAGATTTATGTTTTGCATCCTTTATACTTTCCCCCCAGCAAACTGCAGTATGTTCATCCAGACCTAGTTTTTATATATTTGAATATGCACTTTTAAATTATAAGCTTGGATTTTTTTTTTCTGTTACATGCCCCAGTACTCAGCAATAGAATGCTAATTGAGAACAACAGCACTATGGTCTGTGGTGTGTTGAGAAGCATTTTTCATCTGTGAAGAGGGTGGAGGGTCATTACTGTGTGGGCCTTTTCCTCCTTATATGTCTAGACTAAAATAAATAAACATTGGTCTTTAGAGATGCTTTTGAAATGGTTTTTTTTTTGTTTGTTTCAAAAATGTTAGGATGCTGTTTGTCACACACTTTTTATTTGACTGTAAAATCTCCAGAGAGAAAGAGAAGTTGCTGAACCTAAGCTTGAGAAACTTAAAACAGGAGTTGCATCATTAATTCCATCACGCCACGAGTATTATTCTGTCAACAACTGCAACTATGCCAATACTTACAATCTTTTAGCTCATTGTGATAAAGCAGACAGAATCTTTGTCATCCTCTGCAATTGCCTTGTCACAGTATTTCAGTTCAACATATTTAGCTGTAACATTTTTTTCTCTCTCTTTCTCTGATTCCAGGGGTGGAAGCATGTCTGCAGGCAGGCAAATGGATGCCTGAATCTGAACACGAAGCAGGAGAAGGCCCCTTGCGTAGTCGCATCAACAGATGTAGCTTGGTAAATGAGAAACACACATTAAAAAAAGATGTTGACTCGCTGTCATTGGGAATTTTTTTTGGGCTGGACTGAGACAGCACATGTTGTGCACACTGTGTGCATTCATAGGTGGCACCTGACACCATTTGGCTGTTGAGGCACCTGAATCTTTTTTGTTGTTGTTGTTGTTGTTGTTGTTTTTCGGAGAGTGGCACATGGTTGTTCAGCGGTGTAGAGTGCCAATAACTTTTTCATGCTGAGTTTTGAAACTATAAATCTGTAGATTTAAGATGATTTTCTTTCCTCTTGAGCTGAATGAAATGTCCATGCTAGAAAAACAATAATATCAAGCATAATTTCTAATTAGGAACACAGTCATACACAAGCAAAAGTGAAATCCAACCAAAATGCAGTCAAACAACCTCCTTACATGAAGCTCTTGAGAAAGCCAATTACGCCCCAAAACAGTTGGGTTCATTGATGCTGTGAATGGAGCCGTCTCCAGTGGTTTAATTCACTGCTGCTTTTAAATAGCAAAGCTAAGTGGTTCAGAGTTTGTCTGGAGAACAGTGCTAATAAAAATGTCTTCTAGCAAAGAAGTAAATACAAAGCAGACGCTTGGTAATATGAGAGGCTGAGTTTAGTGGCAAAGAAATTATTCAGCATTTAACTTCATTATAAATAAAAGACAAGACTAATCCTTCTGCCACTGGTCTCAAGAGGGCTGAGGTTTTATTCTGGTACTGGCAATGAGTAATAAAAATGCTTCAGTGGAGGGATATAATGGATAGCAGGTCTTTTCTTTTCTCAGGCAGGCTCATGATGCACAAGGAAGTTTTAGTTTAGACCAGGGTTGAGGAAATCAGAGCTGTCACTAATGCTTGAGTTTGTTTTGTCTAAAAAAGCTCCCGCCGCTCTTCGATGGCTGTTTCTTTTTCCTCCTGGGCTCTTTTAAGGCACCTAGCAAAGATAAGCTCAACAAGCTGCTCCGGGAGGGAGGAGGTCAACTTCTGAGTCGACAGCCCAAGCCTGACAGCGATGTGACACAAACCCTGAGTGCTGCTGCCTACCACGCCCTGCCAGGCTCTGACCAGGCCCTCTGCACCCAGTATATCATCTTTGACCCCCAGGGCCCTCACAAGCCAACAGTGGTTAGACGAGGCAAGGTTTGGTCAGCTCCCTCCACCTGGCTCATCGACTGCATCACAGCTTTCCAGCTCCTCCCTGTGCCAGATCCTCAATCATTGGTCTAAATGATTTTCACATATTTAGCCATTTTGCATTGAAATATCACTTATCCTTCAGAATGATCATGTTTTTTATGTATATGTGGTGATTAGGTTTAAATGGATCATTCATACTATGACAAAATGATAATGTAGCTCAAGTCCTCGTGTACTTAAAATCTAAAATTAAAGTGGTAATTTGCACAGTTTGTTGTTTCTGAGTGTGAGAATTTGTCCTACATACAGAATTCACTAAAAGCCACTGATTTCCAACTTGGGGATCATTACCTCTTCAACAGGTCACAGGTTGAAACATGATTTTTGGGAACACAGGGTTGTCTCTGTTGTTTTACCTTTTTTTTTTTTTTTTAAATCGAAATTAAATACAACTGAGATATTTTAAAAGAACATTATTTGGTGAAACTTACACTTACAGAAGACACAACACAGAATACTCACTGAGGTAAAAAAAAAAAGGAACCCTAGAGTAAGAGCTAAAGACTTGAAGGATTCATTGGAGTTGGTTGCTCTCCAAAAACAACATTGCAGCATACCTGAAGCCAAAGACTACCTTGAAACTCCACAATATGACTGGGAAAATGTCCTGTGGACAGATTAAATTTGTTTGGGAAGAATACGCAGCGCTATGTATGCCCTTAAAAAATGAGCCGCGTACCAACATGGAAACATCATCCCAACAGTATATGGTGGAGGGATCATCATAATTTGGGGCTGCTTTGCTCCCTCTGGACCTGGACCACTTACCAATGTGGAGGGGAAATTTTGTTTTATTTGAATTTAAATTAATTTTGAAGTGTATCGAGGTATCCTACAGGATAATGTCAAAGTGGCTCTCCACAAGCTGAAGCTCAGAACGAGCTGGATGATGCAGCAGGACAATGACCCTAAACATTGTAGTAAATCTATTATAGAATGGCTTCGGAGACACAAACGCTACCTTTTGGAGTGGTCCAAAGTTCCTCCTGAATGTTGTGCACATCTAATCCACAGCTACAGGAAGCACTTGCTTGAGGTTATTGCTGTCAAAGGTGGTTCCACCAGTTGTTAAAACAGTTGGCATTACTTTTTCCACCATCACTTTGTATGTTTAATAGGTGTGTTCAATAAGAACATGAAAGATCATGACTATGTTTTATCGTCCTAGAAATATTGTTTGTTGAAAACCAGAAAATTGCAAACAGTGTCATTACTTTTTTTGTGACCGTAATTATCCAGTTATCTAATTGAAACGGCCTGTTTGATACAAATGGAGGGAGTGTTTCTGTGAAAAAGATCAATGGACATTCAGTATGAAGTGCAGAACAGGAAAAACAAAGCGGTTAATTGTTCTGTCAAAGCACTGACACTTGCTGGGCATAAAAAGCAAAACTTTTCTTTCTTGTCCACAGAGTGCGTGTATGTGTGTACATTTCCCATCACGATGCTAGACCGCAGGTATGTGTGCTTTAAGAGTTCTTCTACTGACCATCTCCCAAGGTGGGATTCAATTGGATTAGTCAGGGATGCACCTAATTGCTATTGATTGCTATACACTGGATAAAATTGCTTCCCTTTTCTTGTATAGCAGGAGGTGGGAGAAGGCAATTAGCAGCGCAGAAGGGAGAAGTTGTAATGAAACAGAATGGAGGAATGAATGTCCTTGAACATACTAAGTATTATTTATAGCATAGGTTACCTGCTGGGTCCTGTGTCAGCTGTAAAGTTTCTTAGTGTTGTTTTTATGTGGAAAATGTGGCTGAATTCAATATTTGTTCAGCAACATCCTCAAGTTTGAAGTGAATCTCACCTCACATGCTGACCTCACCGTACATCAGCTTAAAGAAATGCACATTTTTCAGTAGTTGTTAAATATGTGCTTTCATGCACAGAAACAACAGCGTGTTCCTGAGTAAATGCAGAAGATGAACATAACATAAAAAAATAAATAAAAATCTAGTCACTTTTTTGAATCACACTTCTTTTCAAGTCTATTTAACAAAATAGTGTTTGTCTTGATGAATAATACACATTTTCTTTTGCTTGTTTGTTCGTTGTTTTCTTTTTTTTACTCCACCTCAGATTTCATAATACACATAATATGTTTAAAGATATTTACATATGAACAACAGGGAGCACTAAGGGCTGTTTAGCTGTCTGAAATTTGGACCCTTTGTTTCTTGTACAGTTTAGGGTAAACCCGTGTGAACATGTATTCATATACAATCAAAGATGCTCTTGATTTTAAACAGAAATGTCAAGTTTGTTATAGAAACTATACTGTAACATGTTTGAGTGCCACATGAACAGACCCTTGTTGCTCCAAAAATGAATACAGTTCATTGTATAGTAACAGTGTTTCTCTCGTCCTATTCCAGATAGTATTCTGTGCTGGTTTTCAGGCACACTTTATGTAACAGCTTTGTTGCTGGGAAAAAAAAAGAACTTTCAAAGTTTCCAGCTACAGTAAGTCGGTGTCTCATGGAAAAAGCAGATGGTAAACCTATAGAAAATGTCAATGTACATGCCTGCAGTGTGAATGGTGGGAGGACATGTGGGGTCATTTTGAATAGACATCCACAGACAGACATGAAAGTTCAAGTTTCTTGGCAGAAAATGAACAAAAACGGAATGTGCTGCTGATTTGTCCTTGAAACTGCAGCTTCATGTGTTTGTAAGGAGAAATGTAGTTGCCCCCCGGTTTGCCTGGCAGAGGCCGTGTCCTGAGATGCCTACAGTGGAAGTGTGCCACATAAAAGCCTTGTGTTTTTAAAAATGCAGCCCATTTTCTCAAGTGGCACACATACTGTAGGCATCTACTGTGACTTAATCCACATGGATCCAAACTCATCATGTTTAGTTCTCATTGAAAGCAGTAAAAGTAATCGTCATGAGAACTGTTTAAAAACAAGTCCACCTATTTACAATGCAGTGCATGTAAGTATGCATCAGTACAATGAAAGACGTTCTTCCACAAGTTTCTTTAACTATACTACCTGCTCTGAATATAAGATTTGCTTATTTAATTTCTCTCATTTTTCCCCTCCCACTGCAGCCTATTAACATTACATGTGGAGAGACACTTGGCCATAATCGTCGGGATGGTTTGACTCTTGATGTTTTTTGCACTCCTACCTTCACATGATGAAAGCAGCTTGTAAAATGAAGAAAGTGAGTAGTTTAACAGATGCAATAAAACACAGTTTGGGAGGAAACTGAATCAGAGCAATTATACAGTACAATGAATTGCCACAATTGTCACAAGGATCAAGTTGCTTGGATACCTCTATATGCCATTTATTGCTGCTTTTCCATTTGAGATCAAATTTAAAAAATAATAATAATTTTTAGAGCCACCTGCAAATTCAAATCTGTATTTCAGCCATGATCAAACTGTCCTTTCCTTGTTTCCTTTTCCTTGAATGGTAAAACAATGACTAATTTTGAATAATACAGTATTGTACAGAGGAGTATAAGCAAAGTAGCACTTAAAGCAGTCTGGGCTTTTCATCCAGCATGAAGCCAAAGGCCACGCTGTGTGAATGTTATCTGTGACAGTACCAATAAGGCCTCCGTGGTAGCAGCAGTGCCTTCAAGCCCTGTCAACTGGCATACTCGCTGAAGTTTTTCCTCTGTTGCTAACCACTAAACTAATCCCAGTATAATTTTGGGATACATGTAGAGTTTGAATAATTATGCAACATTTAAAGTAATTAAGATGAATGAAGCTTCTTTGTTAATCCTGAAGTGTCTGGAGCACTGAGGCTGTGATTGATAAACCATAGATGCCAGTTTTGTTTTATGAGTGCAGACTTCGAGCTAAATAGATGAGGTATGCCATTTCACACTGAAAGATACTAAATCACTGGAGCTCAGTGATGAAAGTGACCCCGGCTTCATTGTTGGACCTAAGATTAAACTCCACCCACTTTCATTTCTTGTGAGTCCTCAACCACCCAGCAGCTTAAGACTTTACAGCAGACAAAAATTGTTTTTAAAGATATTATACCTCTTTAGTCATTGGTCTTTATCCTGTGTTCATTTCTCCCTCATTACAGAGTACTGGGAGCTGCTATTAAGCAGCTCATCCATCACAGCCAAGGGATGGGGTCTAAAAGGTTAACAGGAACTGATTTTCTGGAAATGGAAAAGATTCTAGTGATGAATGGCATAAGCTTACTGGAATTCACCTCTGAATTAATGACTAGTATTTATCACCTCCCAAGCATCATGTTTTGGGCCCTGGTTGGGTTCTTTTTCTCTCAGACTGGACCACTTGAGGACCACTCTGATCTGGGAGAATATCACAGTAATACATTAGCTTGTCTCTATGTTGTAGTGCTGGCTGTAGCCACACTATATTGGAATAGCTATATGAACAGTGGAAAAGGGAGGAACTGAAAGTCTGTTGTATATAGCAGTGAGATCAGGTAACCACTTGGTATCTTAACAAGCTTTTTAGGCTCAAGTGCTTCACTGGGTGCAGATCAACATACAGTACAGTATTGTGTCTATGACATTGTGGGTGAATGGCATGCATGTGTATGCTGACGTGGACAGTGTGCATGTCAGTGCTGCTTAAAAGCATTTAGACATACAGTATATGCAGATTCCCTCCTTTTGTCTGCTGGTTGTCGTTGAGTGTGCCCAGAGTGCAGGCTGCAGCAGTGCCAAATACCCAGCTGGAAGATTTATCACAGAATACTCCTTGATTAAGGGAAATTAAAGCAGGCTGCTCTTGGCTCACTAATTGCTTTGATAACAAGTTCAAGCAATTAGTTAGTGGGAATATTTTGAAGGATATGAGCCTTTGAGAGAAAACAATAACAATTAAGCTGGAAGGGGCTGCCCAGAGTTGTTGTTCAGATAGAGTGTTGCAGAATTTTACATCTACCCGTCTGAGATTTGAAGTACAATATTAAATATAAAAAAAAAAAAAAAAAAAAAACAGTTTCTCACAGCAGCTGGTTACCACCTTTCCTGCCTTTCAGCTGACTTTACCAACTTTATCTGCCTGTGCTGCTAGATATACGACTCAAAACCAGGTATGATGAGCAATAAAATCAGCATTTGTTTGGATTTATACTGTAGCTGTTTATAAAATCGAGAGTAGCATCATCTAAGTGTTAAAGGTGAGTACCTGGCACAGCAGTAAAAAGTCTTATGAAGACACAAACATTTATGTGTGATGTGCATTTTGTAAACAAGCTCTTAGAGTGAAATTGTGTAACTTGAACACACCATTGCAGAGTTTTCACCGGTGTCAATCCTCATGACAAAAAAGCGCCATTAAGTGTGCTTACTTTGTTTTTCCTGCTGTTAGAATTTTAGAACACCTGCGTGACTGGGGCAGACATGTACAACAAGCACATGACATACAGTGGCAAGGAAAAGTAAGTGGACCCCAGGAAGAGTAATAATTGAGATCTAAATAAATGAAAAATCCACTGGATCTATCTGCATTTATGTATAAATTTGTTTTAAGATATGGTCAGATCATCATCAAGGTAATGCCATTGAACACACAATCCTATTTTAACTAATACCACACAAGCTGTTGTTGTTTTTGCCCATATTCAATTCAACCATTAACAGTGTAGGCTAGAAAACATGTGAATCTCTAGGATAAAGACATCAACAAAAGGTAACTGTAGTCAGGAATTAGAAAAGAAATCGGTGAAATAAGATTGGAATGTTGGTCAGAGCTCTGCTGACTTGCTAAAATGGTTTAACAAGTGTGAATGTGTTATTCACAGGAAGCATCTGCTCATGTGAGTCATGCCTCGCAAAAAGACTTATGATCATTAAGTGTTGGTTTGCGTAAAGCTGGATAGTGTTACAGTGGAATCTCAAAGAGTTTAGATATTCATCAGTCTACAGTTAAACTGTCTAAACGCTGGAGACAACTCAGGGCTGCTGCTACTGCGTAGAAATGGCTGTGAGGTTAAGAAGACTCCAAAAGCACAATGCTGAATGTGTGAGGTAAAAAAAAAGCCCAGATCAACAGCTAAAGGCTTAAGGGAGTCATTAGAGCTGGTTAACATCTCTGTTCATGAATCTCTTATACAATTCATGGTGCATGGTCCATTGAAGGACACCATGCAGGTCTGATCCATGGCTACTGGAAACATTTATTTTGAGGCCACTGCTGCCAAAGGAGTTTCAGCCAGTATTTAAGTCCAAGGGTTTATTTGCTTTTTCCACCAGTACTGTCAATATTTAATAGATTTGTTCAACAGACAAGAGATTATCTTTGTTTGTGTGTTATTTGCTTAAGCACATTGTGTTTGTTTGTTCTCAAAACTTAGATGAAGATCAGATCCCATTATATGACCAATTAATGCAGAAAACAAGGTAATTCAACTGGCTTCACATACTTCTTGCCACTGTACATACAGAAATAAACACAAGCACTTCAACATTGCTGATGGTTAGGAAAGAGTTCAGGGAGTTTAGAAACTTTTTGTATGAGAGCAGCAAGTCAAGCAAGTCAACTTCTGAAAATATATAGGACAATTAAAACTGGAGGGTGAAAACAGCCATGGGACAAGTTTCTTCTTGTCACTGGCTAAATTTGTATTTGTAAGCTTGTGAGAGCATTTCCTCCATGCTGTCTCAGGTTGCTTAGGAATTGTGCTCCTGCCCTGTCAATCATACAAAATGGTGCAGTAGGCAGGGCCTTGCCTGAGCTTTTCCACCATCCCCGGTGGAGTCTCTCTATGACAATGACTGGCCATTGAGGCACTCCCGTCGCAAGCACTGTGCCGGCTTCCACCAGTCTCCGCTGTGGCAACGACAGATGGTGCAGTCGTCCACCTTTACTTCAATTCCAGCTGGGATGATCGTTGTTCCAGCAAAGCAATTTGGACCTGCCGTGTGGGAAGGGAGGGAAGGGAGAGAAAGACAGGAAACAAGGAATGAGAATGACGAAATGGATGTGGCTCTCCTGAGAGTTTCTCTTTTCTGTGGGGTGGTGGAGTGATGCGGAGAGCTGCAGGGAGTTAGGGGAGTCAGAGCAGACGTACAGATCTTTTCACGGGCATGCACCGATGGGCTTGTTTTTGCAACACTAAAGCGCTTTTGTTAGTCTCCCCTTCTCCCTCGACATGGAGCGCTTTGCATCCTAATGTGCCGCAAGCAGAGAAGCCTGCCAGGCGCTGGCTTGGCAGTACAGAGAGGCTGGAGTACAGAGAGAGAGAGAAAGCTGCTTTGAGAGGCAGTAGGGAGGATGGTGTTAATCACTTCAGTCTGTATGAAAAGGCCACATAACTCCTCTGCAATTCCTTACACAGTTTCTTTCCACACACACAGACTGTACTGACCCCAAAAACAATGAAGAACTCTGATTAATTTTGAAATCTTTTTATCTTTATAACACTGTAGGGTTTGCTTGTATGGATCCCTTTTTGCTGATAAGATTGTTTTTATTCTAAACTATACTTGACTGTGTAGCACTGGAACAGCTCATACCCATGTTTTTCATAATCTTAGCCAACTGAGACACTGATTTTACTGGTGTACATTTTAGGATCTGTACTTGTGGAAGCTAAAACCACTGCTGCCTCGTAAGAATGCAGTGCATTCATTATTGCTAAACACCAGCTGAAATCATGATATCTAATTAGTTTCTCCCCGCCTCGTGGTGAATTGAGGCTGTGTATCTTTTCCTCTACATCTTTGGAGGAAGAGCCGGAAGGTGCCAGAAATTCCCCCCCTAGTGTTAATCATTTAAATGAAGCAATCAGCAGCTCAATTGGTGTAACGGTGACTCTGGATGGCTCTCAGTATTCAGCTCTGTAAGACCTGCCAGATTCAACACTGCTCTATAACTAGTCATAAAAAAAAAAACAAAAAAAACCAAACAAACTCACGTTTCATAACTCTTGAAGACACAGTAGCTTTCGCAGCAAATATTTATGGACATCTTAGTGGCCCAGTGAATTTGATTTAGTGTGGGCTAACTTAATACTAGCAACCTAAATGTGAAACAGCATGGTTAGTTGATCTGAGTCAAGTTACATAGGATATATTGGGGACACAGGCCAGCTGCATTCAAATCTCCTCAATTACTCACCTTGGGCACACTACAGACCTTTTACACTGAAAATATTTTTGACACGTCACAGTGGGAAAAGTACAGATATAAATAATAAAATTAATGATGGCTGTATTCCACCTAACTCCTTCAGTTTCAGGGGCGGCATGGTGGAGCAGTGATTAGCACTGTTGCTTTATAGCAAGAAGGTTCTGGATTCAAGCCCCAACCGACCTGGTGCCTTTGTGTTTTCATGTTCTTCCTGTGCCTGCGTGGGTTCTCTCCGGGTACTTCGGCTTCCTCCCACCCGTCCAAAGACATACAGGTTGACTGGCGACTCTAAATTGCCTGTAGGAGTGAACGTGTGTGGTTGTCTGTCTCTGAGTGTCAGCCCTGTGGTATAAGTGGTATAGATCATGGATGCTTCAGTTTCACGGTGCTGGTATTGTGTTCGCTGTCATGCTTTACTGTGGCACTTGAATAACACACTCAACATTTTTAGTAACACCTGTGGTTTTCCTACTGACACATATCAAAGTCTCTGGTAATGTTTCATGGTGATGTTTAAGGCAGCCCAAAGTGCTTGATAGGTCACTTTTATTTAACTTTAACCAAGTGTTTAGTAGTCTACAGATAGGCAAACAGGGTTGGCAATAACTCTCAATATTTCAGCTTTTGCTTGAAGTCTGAAGGATTTGTTTCAATTTCCTGCAGTGCTTATAAGAAGCCACAAAAATCCATGTGACAGTGACAAAGGGAGCTGCTGGCTTTCTACTATCTCCACCCATTGCCTCAGCAAAGATGAGTCCCATGCTTTATTCAGGCTTAATAAAAGTTCTTTGATCTGAGCTTAGAGGGGACATTGAGAGTGCTTGCCAAGTCTTAACTGTCATTGATCTGCCTCTGGACAGCCAGAACCAGGTTACAGGAAAAACAGTAGAGGTTGATGAGAGATGAGAGTGACTGGTGCTACTGCCAAGTGTGATTGTTTATAGCCAGATAGATTTGGAGATAGAAGGACACAGCTTCATCTACCTGTCACCGCTTGAAGGACATGTGGATACCCGTCTGAGACAGTGATCAATTCACGGTCGATAAAATTTATTGAAGTCAGAATATGTTTGTCCTGTGTCAGAACTGTCTCAGCACGTCATACTTTCCTTGGCTTTAGATCAAGGCATTAATGCATATTAGGGCTCATTACACTCTGTGGCTCTAATATGATTCTTGCTTGAGGGTAAGAAAAGCTCTCATACAAATTCACCTGCCAGAAACCTGTAATTCACAAAAAACTGTGGCTTGTCCACGTGAATATTTCAATCTGGATGTTACCCAACTGTAGCCAGCTTTATGACATCATTACTCAATGTTATAGCTGTAAAAAAAAACAATGACAGTTTTCAGACTGATAAGACATAGCAGATCTACTGTAAATACTAAACACTACCCATTTTCAGATAACTTCTTATCATCATTTGCTTGATGATAATTATGCAATTGCATGTATCTCATGATGCATTTACAGTATGTAATTCATGATAATGGTCTGAGCTGAATCAGTTGGACCCAGTGAATGTGGAGCTCAGAGATAAGCACTCCCAGTGGACCAGTAGTCTATTGTTCTGCCTTCTGCTCACTATTGCTGCTTTCAGACGGAAACAACAATAAGCAGATGAGCTTATCTTTACATCCTTACAATGGAAACCTTTGACAGAAGGTTGATTTGGTGATTTGCAGGTACAACACATCACGGTTGTAACCAGCTACATTTACTGTACTTGAAGTTTTTTGATGTTGAGCTGTAGTTAACAGAGATGCAGTCATTAATCCCCAGCTGCATTAAGCCCTATTTTAACACAGGTATCCAGGCATTTTTTAAAAGCCTTTATTTATTCAGGGTGGGTCCACTGAGATGCCACTTCTCTTTTTCAGAGATGTCCTGTTCACATTCACACAGTTATACATTCACACCTGGAAGTTGCCCAGTACAACCACAGTCTGACCTGTGGTCACTGAGCAGCTCAACTGGAACTGCTGGGATTAAGGGCTTTGCTCAACAGCACCACAGTGGTATTACTGATGCAAGCAAATTTTAGAGGTGTCTCTATATTTTTGTTTTCCCCAGCTACATACTTGAATATTAGGAACACCACCTTTAACTATGACCTCAATAATAAACATATATTTGAATTTATGCAGTTATGACATTGTCATCAAAAACTGAAACATTTTGAGCTTCATACACACAGATGTTAAGGTGGAAGTGTTGCATTAAAGTATACTCATGGAGTTTAAAAATGCACCACCTTTTTTTAAATTTGACAAATGTGAGTGGTGTGTTTTTCCATGAGTATACATACAATTGTACAGGTGTACCTATTAAAGTGGCAGATGAGTGTTTATCTCAGCAGACATACTCTAACCCAGTGTATGCTTCTTCATCTCTGAGAGTAGACAGACATAAATTTCATGATCTCTGAAACACATTTTGAGTTTTGGATACATGCTCCTTTAACACAAAAGGATGATGTAACAATAAAACAACAAGTTGTCAAAACTATGTATTTTACTCAACAAATTTCAACAAATTTCCACATATGAGCCAATTCTGGCTGGTAGTGCCATATATAGGCCTGACACTGACCAAGGAAGAAACACACATTTGCTAGAATTCTGGGCAAATTAAGAAATGTTTTTAGCATTCACTTTGTCCAGTGTTTTTGTTTATCATCACATATCAGCTGTGCTTTGTGTTTAGTGCTAGTAAGCAAATGTTAGCATGCTAACATGATAAAACTAAGATGGAGAACATGATAAACATTATATCTCAGAAATTTGCATGTTTGTTATTGTAAGCATGTTAGCATATTGATGTTAGCATTTAGATCAGCATAATATCAGAGCTGCTAGCATCTTAGCCTTGATAAATGAGAAAAATCTTTGCACTAAAAAACAAGTGTGTCACAGTATCAAACCTGGTTTTGGTGGTTGGTCTGTGGTTGAAAACGACACCACAGCCACCACACCAGTGTCACCAGCTGTTTTCATTCATGTATCTTTCCTACTGTATGCCTTAACTGGAAAGAAAAAATATTTCATGCTGAGAGCACACTGATGTGCTAAGTGCTCTTTTCACATTATATGAAACCAAACACTAGCAGCAGGTTAACTGAAAGAAATTTTTAACTGTCTCCCACTGATTGCATGTCACAGTAAGTAGATGTCTTCCTTTCCTAGTCCACTCCACCTTGGCCAAACATATGAGCTACGCGGCATTCTTTCATTGTCCTCCCCCCACAGCCTTCAGCCATCCACTCCCATAGAGATTTGTCTGGCTGCCAGACCCTGACCAGGCACCCTTGGGGAGCCCAGAAATGGCAAGCCTACACTGAAATGCCAAGGGTGTCACTTGTCCTGTCAGCCTGGATTAGCGCTCTCCTAGCAGCTTCTGCAGCCTTGTTAGTGTTGGTGTTTGTGTGTGTGTCTGCGTTTTACAATTAAACTGAGAAAGCAAAGGGGAGAAAGGGGAAATTAGAGTAAGTATGAAAGAAAATGTGGTAGTTGTGGTGAAATAACCATTTAGCATCCACCTCAAATTAAATTAATCTCTTTGCATTTTAGCTCAAAAATAAATATATTAAAAACTTTTTATTTAACCTTCTTTACCCCAAAAAAGTTTTGGTTTTGGTGTTGCACTCTACTTAATGACAAGACTGAATGCAATAACAAGGCATAAGATCATGAGCACAGTCTTATTGTTTCTCAGGTTTTCATTTGAGTTTAGGAGTTTAGACACTTTTATTGTAGAATTTAAGGACATCATAAAGAATGTGGTGGAGGAGACATGTAGCTGATTTTCTTGAGAGTCCATTATTTTTACTTTGTAAATAGAATTTTTGTATGTTGCGTTGTATGTGCTGAATTTTAATATGTTGTAAATTTGTACGGCTGCCATCTTGGCCAGGTGTCCCTTGAAAAAGAGATCTTGATCTCAATGGGGCTTCCTGGTAAAATAAAGGTTAATCTAAATAAATAAATACATGAAAAATAACTGATAAAATATTTGATTAGACAATGCAGCATTTTGTTTTGCCTGTAATCTTAATATTGCTCTGCATTTGCTGTTGATCATTCCAGCTAGGATCACATTGAGATGAGCAGTAATGGCATTCATAAAGCTTCATTTGTCCCTCAGGATTGGTGCTGTCAAAGGGAAATCTCCCACTTTACCCTATAAATAGCCAACGAACCACTGGAATCCTATAATTCTAATTTAGGGATTGGCTCTGTGTGACAAGGGCATCGGGGCACCGAGAGATAAAATGCTCTCCGAAGACCCATTAGTCCCTCCTACCATGCCTTTAATCAATGGGCTAATGTTTACTCTGCTTAGTGTGTCATTTATAATTAAAACTAGTACTGCTCATTAGTGTCCAACGGGCCCAAGGTAATAATTTTAATTCATAAAACATCAATTACATCCTCATCTTCTAAAGGCGCAGCCATCAAATGGCAATACTACAGATAAACTTACTGTCATTGGTTTAATTAAAATTTAATGACTTCAGTGGAGTGTGTGGTGAATTCCAGAGGTGAGGACTGTTTACCATTTTTACAGATGGGGCAGCATTGCTCTGGCTCATACACTGGGTTGACACACTCTGGGACGGCGCAGTCGGACACCACACAGTGCACCTCGTTATTTGGTTCGCAGCGGCACCATTCACAGGGTGACGGCTGTGGGCAGAGGGGGAAGAGAAACAGGGAATCTGGGTTAGATGATTCATTGGGTTTTATTACATGTACATGTGTGCGTGTTTTACATGATTACTACTGGGCATTTGAAGAAACATTCTGCTCCTATATTTGCTGATATTTTCAGATTCAAAGAGTTCCTTTTACATGCATCTCGGTCTGTCCTAAGAAGCGAAGAAACAGGTTAATAAATTATTCACAAACCCGCTTTATTAAGCTAGTAAAATCAGTAGAAATAGCTAATAGGGGAGTCTATGAAGTAGTGTTCTGGATGTTTAGAGTTTTGCTGCATTCTCCTGCTGCCTGCCTCAGGAAACAGTTCAGAGGCTTATCTTACCACCTCTGCAACATGTAAATCAGAGCTCTGCAGCTCTCTTTGCTGGTGCCTCTTACTTGACTCCATCCTTACAAAGTCTCCTAAAAAATGAAATGTAATGCACTTACATGGATTGGAAAAATACAAACAGTTTCCAAATTGCAAAAGGTGGCTGTTCTTCATTTTGGTCATCACAGGACCTTTTTGCCCTGGATGTGCATTTTGAGAGACTCAGCTATAAACACAGCAACAACAGTTCCATGGCTCTTAACCCAGTTTTGTATAGATATTTTTAAAAAATGAAGAAGAAGGCTGTGGTAATATTAGATGCTTTAATGTGTCTTTTATCAGCCAGTTTTTCCAGGATACATAATATGACAGAAATTAGGAGCTGGTACCTCTTGGAATTGATGGCAGTCTGGATGCACTGCAGTAGCCACAAATTGAATATGAACACCATTAAGAGATGAAGATGGAGAGAGTGCACAACCCATTTTCTGATTGTGATTCTAAACATGAGACAATCTACAGTGTACATAGAGATAGGTCTCCAAAATCTGTTAAACCATAGCCTGAGTTTCACCTGCTGTTATTCCGCCTTCCCTCCTGGTGGTAAAACATACAGTATATAAAACTGGCTCCGCCTTTTATCAGATATATTTCTTCTGACATACCAGAAAACTGTCTGGTGGGAATAATAATTAGGATGTGAAACTGATAATCAGATCAGATCATAAAGAGCACCAACAAGTCAGGTTAAAGATCAGGCTCCTCACAAGTGCAGAAACTGCAGCTGCATTTATATGTACTAATATCTGTAACTTGTTTTTATCCTGGTAGACAAAGCTGTTCTATATCTTTTTAAAAGATTTAAAATGCCAAGTCATGTCAATGATAATAGACACAATGAATTAGAAGAAGAAATCTGTTGCATATTTTAGAGCTGCCAGTCTCTGATGTTGAACATACTGTATCTCAAGGCCTGTCTTTTCTAGTGCAGCTGCACTTTAATGATTAAAACTTGTAAAAAAACAAACAAAAAACACATACATATAGTAGCTAAACATCTATAATTTGACACCCTTCTCGTTAGAAATACATATCAGAAAATTCACTCTACTTTCCCACAGCAGTTGGTGTGAGTGACCACCGAGGTCCCTGAAACCGAGCCTTGAGGTTTTATTAAAGGTGATATGAAACACTTTGTAGACCAAGGTTTCTTACATGATCTGTTTGCTGTTGACTGGGACAACATTTTATTAGATGAGGATGTATATGCATGGTCATTTTTATGATACTTATGTAAAATAAGCTTGAAGCTTTTTGAAATTTTAGAATAAGAGGCCAAAGTCATCCTCGGTTCAGTAGTGATGTCTAACATGCTGCACGGATGAAACCTTTGTTAAAGCAAGAAAAACAGGCTCCGAGTCAGATTGTCTTTATGTTAGGCAACTAAGAAACCAGTGTACAAAGTGTAAAATCTGAATATTACTTCCATGCTACCACTGACAGTCTTAATGATCCAAGAAAGTTCTGGAGATCAACCACATCATTATCTGCTCACAAAAGTTCTGACGATCTGCGCTGTGCATTTTTAAGAGCTCGGCTTTAGTGTCAGATAGGCTCAGTATGTGAAATTATTTTATCGTACATTCTCTTGCTTTTTCTATGCTTTTTGACTTTTAAACTTGCTGTCTGATGTCACTGAACATGCAACAGGGGCTGATAGTTGTCAGTTTAAGCTATTTTCTTACTCGGAGGTACATGACGCCTTAGTAAAATTAGATTTTTTTAGATATTTTTATTGCTTTTCCTCTCACATATTTTCAATCTTAAGTTAGCTTTAAATGAGAACCCTAAGGTGTGGAAAGCAGCCTTCATTAGCACCTCTGTTTAAAGGTGGCAGTGCTCTCTCTTGACAGGCCAATTTCCAGTCTTTCTGTGCTAAAATTCTTTAAACACTTGTGAGTATCCAACTTAAAGAGTTTATATACATAGTAATGCTATTTAGTCTGAGTGTTAGCTTGGATTTAGGAAGCAACACAGTATCAGTGCAGCAACCAAGGTTGTGCATGATATCATTGCTTCTCTGGATAAAAAGCAAAGCTGTGTGTTTTTATTGATTTGTCTAAAATGTAGGATCTTTATTGCTTTTGATACCGTGGCTCATGCCCTGTTAAAGCAAAGGCTGGGTTATATAGGGTTGGCTGACCAGGTAGTAGGCTGCTTTTTAATTATCAGAAAGAACTCAATGTGTGAAAGTACATGTGCTCATTTATATAAATAATATAGGTGTGGACATTGAATGGAACACATGCTCATTGCTTTGCCAATGATGGCTTCATATAGCAATGCACCGTCACTCCCAGCTTCATAAATGTCAAAACATGTTGCTTTCTAATGCAAGAAAGAATCCATCAGACACTGTTGATATTGTCATTACTGAAGGGAAGAAAATGTCTGTTGTTATATGCAGTAAATATCTTGGTGGGTGGTTTGATAAATGTCTCTCTTTTAAGTAACATATTGACACAAAGATGCTCAGACTGAAGCTAGAGTTTTATTTTAGACACTGCAGACTTGTGTTTCTTTAGAAGCCAGGATTGGTGGCTGCTACCTTTTTATGAATCTTTGACTACAGTGGCAATATGTTCACAGGTTGGATTCTGTTTATCACAGTGCACCAATTTAAAATCATTATTCCCTCCCTGTCCTGTACTCCAGAGTTAGTTGCTACCTCTCACTATGCTCCATTTGAGTTATTGGTATATTTTTGTATTTATATAGCTGCTTTGCACAAATTGTTCCCATAGCTTTGCAAAATTGAAAGATCACAAGACTCGTATCTGCTGTCTGTCCCCAGCGTTCGGACAGAGATGGGAAAGAAAGCTTTCATGTTTTCTGCTCCAGCCAACTGGAATAGTAGTTTGCTGAGGGAAATTAAGTTAATGAACTTGGAATCTTTGACAGAATTCAGAAATCTTGTTAATTAACTGGTGAATAAACTCCTTTCTGTCTGTGTTTTTGTTCTAAACTCTTTTTGACACAAATATTGTTTGATAGACATGTTTTTTCTTAACTTTTGTAGATTTTGTATGTTACTGTCTGTTTGTTTCAGATGGAGGTAATAATACTGCTGTATTGACCAGGATTTACTTGTAAAATAGATTCATATCCTCAGTGGGGTTTTCCTGGTTAAATATTTGTTAAATAAAAAACAGACTAAAATTTTAAAATTTAAGTAGTTGACCCTAGTTCCTCAAAAAAGGGAAATGTTTTACAGATTTAAAATTATCCATCCTTCTCTCCATTTGAGTGCTCGTAACAACACGCTCCCACTAAACAGCTATATATTGTCTCATGCATATAGAAGATAGAAGATAGACTGTTTTTTTCAACCAGACGGGTGTAATCTGTGGATGTCAGCACAGTGGGATTCAGGCTCAGTAGCAGAGCACTGGGGCTTTGTCTGTCATACACAATCTGTATTTCAGGTTAATGATTCGGTGTCGGCCTTCGTAACTGTAATTAAAACTGTATAGCTCAAATACTCCTTTTGTCTGTCAGCTTTGTGGTTTGAGTGAAAATGAGGCACTTCAGTTTGACATTATCAGCAGCAAAAACCCTGGTTCAGTCAAGATTATGTTGGGTAATAACAAATATTATCTCATAAGGGAACTGAAGCAACAGTAGTTTGCGGTAATGAGCTGCATACTGTGTGGTTCTTGCAGTGTTCAAATGGAGGTCCAAACTCTACAGTATTCATATGCACATTACTTTGGCATCCTGAAGGGTGTTTCATAAAGGTGGTCTGTCTGAATGAGCCTAACAACCTGAATCAGAATGAAAATATTTTATGAAAAAACAAAAGCCAATGAGCTAATGTGATCAGACTAAGAACAGGCCGTGAACAAGAGCTGCTTATTTATGACTGAAACAAATGCCAAAGACAGCAAGAAAAGATTAAATCACTTGACACAACGGACATATGAAGACAAAAGACTCGCCGAATGCTTGTTGAGCACAGAGCAGCGCGTGCTAATATAACAGACAGAGCAAAATATCAAAGCAAAAAGAAACACAGATGGAGCAAACAAAAAAGTTATGGCAGCGTGCCACAGACAGGCAATGAGCTTTTACACAAGTAGAGACAGGCTGTTATTTTAGGCCTACGTAATACAATGTGTATCATTAAAGGCTGAAAATGAAACTAGCCTAAAAATGTACATGTACAATGTACAGTGTACTTTTGGGAGGAACATCATAGAGAAAATTGTGCTTTAGGGTTATAGCTGAAGTGACATGAGCCCAATTACTAGCTTGGCCAGAACCTGGCTAGTCCCACGGCATGTACTGTACTGTATGTCCATAATGGCATGTCTTAACTTGGTTTCTGGATAGTTCCCTCCTCAAATCAAGATAGATAGCCAGGTAGCCAGTAAAACAAAACCTTCTGGTGCTATAGCATGATATCACTCTGGAGGGATAAAACTGTATTATTGCTCTTGTGTTTTAGTAATGGAGTGACTAAAAGCAGAATGCAGCAGAGCTCTGGCACCCAGAAACAATATGGGCTCATTCTTACAGTAAATTCTGCAAGAGTTCAGTAATTACAGAATGAAAGTGGCTGGATTTGGAGGAGTTAGAGAGACGAGCGCTGATGTAG